CTACAGGCATGCGCCACCATGCCCGGCTAATTTTTTTTCTATATATATTAGTTGGCCAATTAATTTCTTTCTATTTATAGTAGAGATGGAGTCTCGCTCTTGCTCAGGCTGGTTTCGAACTCCTGACCTCGAGCAATCCGCCCACCTCCACCTCCCAGAGTGCTAGGATTACAGGCGTGAGCCACGGTGCCCGGCCTCTAGATGACTTTTGAGGCTCATTACTAAAGCAAGAGTGGGCGGCACTGCAGCTGGGGAGGCTGAGGCGGAGGAGAGCTGGGGTGACGGGGAGCCCTGTGGAGCCTGGGAGGAGGGGACAAGCGCCCAGCCTGCTGGCCCTTCCTGAGGGCGCCCTGCACCTGTGCTGCAGCAGGTGTCATTTCGGCCCGATGCCTGTGGCCTGTGGCAGCTGGAGGTGCTGGGTGTCGGGGAAGCAGCTGTGGACCCAGCACTCCCACGGTGGTGACAGCGGGTCCTGGCAGAGTGCAGAGGGTGCACTCCAGAAAGCGCCCGCCCTTGCGTAAGGCAAGGGAGCAGGTGCCGGCTGCGCCCCACTTCCTGCACCACAGGAACACCTGGGCCACCTGCGACGGTGGGGGAAAGGTCAGCGCAGGGAAGGCAGCAAGCCCCGGTGTGACTCTCACCAGCCACCGCCTCTCCAGGCTCTGTGGTGGGCGGGCAGTGGGGTATCAACTTGGAAGCGGGTTGTTTTCTAGAGTGGCACAGGCACGGGCTGGGCGGAGGGGGCAGGCCAGCCGCCAGGTGGAGACAGCTCTGCCAGGCTCATAAGATGGGTGCTGTGCCCCGGATCACCCGGGACCCTGGTGATCAGGGCCACCTCTGGGATCCACACGGCTCCTGGTGGGCCCTTCTTGGCAAACGGAGCCCGACCATGGGAGGCTCACCTCAGCCTCAGCCCCAGGAGGCCTGGCGGAGCATCCCAGCAAGATGGGAGGGAAAAAAAGGTGGTAACAGCCACACAGGGCGCCTTGGAGTCACCACCAACCAACACTGCGGGCTGGAACCTTGAGTCAGGAGGTCTGGTTCCAGATTGCAGCTCAGCCACTGTTTCCTGGGCAAGTGACCCAAACCCCCGAGCCTCAGTTTGCTCAGGTACACGAGGAAGTACCGAGGCCGTTTGGGTTGGTGAGTGGGAGTAAGGAGATTCCCGTACTTAGCACATGGCCTGACACATAGGACAGCTGGTATTATCATCACCGTGGCCCTGTCTCCTGGCTGCAAGCCCCTCCAGCCTCTTCCCCCTTGTGAGAAGCAGACTAGGCCAGGAAGGCCCCCCACCACCATCCGCACATCAAAGAGCAGGGCGGAGGCCAGGGGAGATGGGGTGATGTCCCTCTACCAGCCGGGAGGCTCCCTGGGCTGCCCCAGATTAAGTCCCCCAGCCCCTCTGGGCTGGCCCTTCCTGTCGCCAGTGCCCAGCAGCTGTGGCTGGCACTTGACCTTCTGGGGGCCGGCTGGGGGAGGGGCCGGCCTCACCATCTTGGGTCCCTGATGGGCTGCAGGCTCCCAGGCCATTGCAGGGGAGAGCTGGCCTGCCCGGGAGAAGAGTCTGAGCACATTATCTCACTGAGTCCTCTCCCTGCTGTGAGATAAGGCCTGTCTTCATCTCAGCTTCACAGACAAGGAAACTGAAGGGCAAGGAGGTTAAGTCACAGCGCAGTGGAGCCAGAACTGGAACCTGCTGTCTGGCTCTACTGAACGTGCGCAGATGCCCACTTGGAGCGGGGGCAGGTTGGTACAGTCCGCGCTGCCACGCTCGTGCCACTGGGCAGCTTACCATGCTGGCGTTCATACGGCCCTGCGTGGCTGGAGGAAGCCTGTCCCAGGATGCAGTGAGGACACCCAGAGCCAGAGACCTGCCTGCAGAGCCTGATCAAGGTCAAGGAGCACAGACCAGCTAGAACTCAGGTTGCTGGTTCCCTGCCCAGGGCTCTGTCTGCAGGGGGATGACCCCTCCACACTGAGGCCAGCGGGAGGGAAGGTTCTGCAGATCTGCAAGGAGCAGCCTCTGGAGGTGGGGACAGCAGCCCCAGACCTGGGCTGACAGGGCACTTCTCCCAGCCTCAGTTGCCACATGCAAAACCAGTGTGTCTTCTCCATTGCACTGTCTTTGAAAGGCCTAGATGAGCCACTCAGTGACTCCAGTCTCTTTCGGGTGGTGACTGGGGTCCCCAGGAAGAAGGTGTGGGCAGATCAGTCATCCCGGACGGGGTACCAGCATCGGCCTCTCCCCCTCTCCCGCCAGCCGCTTGGCAGAGAGGTGCAGCCAGAGCGGCATGCCTGGGATGAGCCACGGGTGGACGGACAGGCAGACAGACAGATGGGAGGCAGGGGCTGCCGCTCTGAGAGGCAGGGCTGAGCAACTCCTCCAGGAGTTGCAGATTTAGGCTGAGCCGGGCTGCTCTCAGCCCAGCAGCGGCTAGGACGTCTCCCACGTGACTCCAGCTCATAATCCACATGTGGTTCCTGGCTGGAGTGATGGTGGCGCTGGGGCCACTCGCTCTGCTTTTGCTGCCCTGAGAGGAACACGATGAGGGGAGCCGGAGGATGGGGCCGCCAGGCTCTAGAGGATGCTCACTCCAGCTGCTGCCGGCGGAGGCCAGTGCTCTCCTGGGCTCCACCCCCCAGGCCCTCGCAGGGCCTGGGAGCTGGAGCGCGTGGCTGGGAGGCCCTGCCTCTGTCTGCGCAGGGACAGGCGGGAGCCACAGGAAGGACGCAGGGCAGGGCGGTTGTTTAGCTCTGCCTTCAGCACAGATGCCGAGAGGAGAGTCAGGGGAGCCAAGAGGTCTTCGTGGGAGGGAGAGAGCGCTCCAGCAGCCAGGGCCTGCGTCCACACCTCTCTGCAGCTGGGGGAAGTCACTCCCCTCCCTGGGCCTCAGTTTCCTCACTTATACAATGGATGGATGAAGAATAGCTGTTGCTCCCAAAGCTGGCCGGGCCCCAGGGTTCCCTGGAGAGGGTCTTGTTAGAGCCTGGGAGCCTGGGGCTTCAGTGCGGGAACCTAATTCACCGAATCACCCTCTGGGACTAGGATCCTGGGACCAGGATGGCGCCACATGCGGCCAGGTTTGGTTGGGAACCACTGGACTAGGCCATCTTTTGGGTAATGCGACTCTATTCAGCTACTCCTTTTATTGAGCATTTACTATGTGCCAAGTATAAGAAGCCAGAGAGGTAGGGTCTATTACTGCCTCTACTTCACAGTCGAAGAAACTGGGGCTCAGAGAGGGAGTGACCTGCCTGACGCCACAGGGCATCTCAGCAGGCATCGGGCTGCCACGCAGGGTCAGAGGGGAGGCCCTGCACGTGGCCGGGCGCAGGGCAGGAGGTCAGACAGCTCGTGCTCTGGGCTGCCTCTCTTCTCCTCTCTCCACCTGGCCCGTCCCAGTGGCTTTGTGCCCGGCTCCATTTCTATGAAGCTGCCAAAGGGACCGGACAGCGGCACTGCCCAGCCCACCCGCTACTGCCCACCTTCCGCGCCTTGCACCACGCCAGCACACGGGGCTCCCCACGGCCACAGCCATGCCCCAAGCTCCTTCCTCACCCCTGCTTGTCCTTTTCTCTGTCAACGCTAGCCGCTGGCTACTTCCATTCCGACTTGGCTCACGCTGTTCCGTCTGCCTGGGTGGCTCTTCCCTCACTCCTCTTGGCAAACTCCTGCACATCCTTCAACACCTGTCTCCGAGGTCACCTCTCCTGCAACCCTCCCCTCCCGAGCCAGCGGGTACAGAAGGAAGTCACCACCGCCGCTGGCTCCCCTGCCTGAGGGAGCCTTTGCTAACGGGTCATGGTGTCATCTCCCCAAGGGCCCGGCCATGCCTCTCACTCTTGCAGGACAGCACAACCGAGGCAGCAGGACTAACGGATCAGGTCACTCCAGAACGAAACGGCACTGCCACCCCTGCCTCCCACCAGGCTGTCACACCCCAGTCCTAGAGCACCTTACGCAAACCCCCATCCTTGCATTTGGGACCTGGGCTCCACTCATTTACTTCCCTCTAATTCACATCATTAGTTGGGAAATATTTTCTCTCTGGCACCCAACACCAGGTGTCAGGGGCTGAGTTGTGCCCCCCTAAAATTCGTATGTTTAAGCTCTAACTTCCGGCACCTCAGAATGTGACTGTATTTGGAGAGAGATCCCTAAAAGAGGTAACCAAGGTTAAATGGGGTCTGTAGGGTGGGCACTAAACCAATATGATGGGTGTCCTCAGAAGGGATGAAGACACAGATGGGTGACCGTATGGGGACACAGTGGACAGGTGGCCATCTGCAACCCAAGGAGAAGCCTCAGAAGAAACCAACCCTCCCTGTATCTTCATCCTGGACTTCTGGCCTCCAGAACTGTGGGGAAATACATTTCTGTTGCTGAAGCCACGCAGGCTGTGGTATTTGCATGGCAGCCCTAGCAACAACACACGGGCCTAGCACACAGGGGCCACTCACAGCCATCTTCTGAAAAACAGCTTCATAAAGCTGTGAAAGAGCTCTAAATCACAGGCTTCTGGGAATCTGGTCTCCCTATTTTGAGGCCCTGCCTGTCCGCCTGTAGCTGCGTGCGCCCAGCCGGCAGCCAGCAGGAATTACCCAGAAGAACGCGAAAGGGCAGTGGTGAAGTATCTGCGTGATGGACAGGCCCAGGCCCCAGCCCACCTGTGGCGCTTCGCACAGCGGGCCGAGGGGGCCGCCGGCCCTGCAGCCCCGGTGCATAAATATTATGAAATTGGCAAGTGAGGCCCGCGCCAACCTTGGAGGAAGGGCTGGATTTGGGGAGGAGGAGAGTACCATGACTTTCCCCCCTAAGAAGGGGAACATTTTTCCTTTTCCAGGGGCAAAGAAAATAAAACAAAACAAAACACCAACCCCAAATCCAAGTTGATAGAACAAAAGCAGACCAAACCAAATTTTTGTTGCGTGTGTGTGTTTTTTTTTAAGAAGTACAAAAAATTGAAGTACACAGGCTTCTGGCTGTCACCAAAAAGCAGAGCGTGGAGCCTGCCCCCCACGCACACCCGCACTGTCCCAGCCCCACCTCCCCCTTTGGGGAGCCTTTATCCTACAGCAGCTCAGACTGCTCTGCAGAGCACCGGGTGTCTAGCGGTGGGAGACACTGCCCCAGCCACTACTTCCGTGAAAGACATCCCTGGGCAAAAGGATCCTTGGCTAACGGCAAGCTTGAAAACCACTGAGGTAGCAAATGGGGCACCCACAGGACAGCCCTGATTCCTGGCTGAAAAGGCGGCAAGCAATCCCATTTAGTAGAAGAGGCCCAGGTGGGCCCCCTCTAGGTCTTCTGGCCAAAGTTCAGGGCAGCCACCGAGCGGCAGGCCTGAGCTCTGGGGAGGGCTTGCTTCATGGAGCTGGAAGGCGGGGCCTGGTGCCTGGCCCTCTGAGCCGGGAAGCACCTCTGCACTGTGGCTCCAGCACCCCCACTGGGTCTGAGGCTGGAGTCTTTGGCATGATGGGCGGGGCAGGAGCGGCGGGGATCCCAGCGACAGACAGGACTCTGGAGACACAGAGACACCCTGCAAGAGTGGCAAGAGCAGCTGGTTAGTGGGCCACTGCCTGATTACAGTGGTTAAGAGCCCTGGCTCTAAAGACGCACTGCCAAGGCTCAAATCCAAGCTCTGCGACTCACTATAAGTGAGAACTCAAGTAACCGCGTTTAGTCTCAGTTTTCTCACCTGCAAAATGGGATGATCATAATAATACCTACTTCCCAGGGTTGTTGGGAGGGCTGAATAAATTAATACACAAGTGACGTTGGGCACACAGTAAGCCTTCGGTAAATTTTGGTTATTAATAGGATCTTCTATGCACTAGGAGTCAGTCATGGGCCTCATGGATGAAAGAAGCTTGAAGAAAACATGAAGTCACCAGCTCCAAGCCCATCTACTCAAGGAGCACTGCCCTTACCCCAGGGCTTCCTCCCTCCACTGAACCCTTACTTAGCATAGCAGCACTTGGGGTTATTTTCCTGACAGAGCCCCCCGTCTCCACCTCCCACCCTCTGAGCAAGTCCGAGGGCTACATCCCCTTTTCCGCATGGCTGTCAAGACTGCTGGGTGGCAGTGATGTGACTGGTGGTGGCATTAACGTCTCAGGGCCCCACCTCTTCCCCCAAGGAGGTCAGGGTTCCTTTCATTCTCCCCTCTATTAGATAACGCTGGATTATAAAATCTGGGATGTGAAAAGTATAAGATTCTCTGCACACTAGGGCTTCCATTTCCATCTCAAGCCTGGGGCCGAGGGAAGCATCTAGGGCCTCGATGCGTACCTGGTATACTGCAGCCAGCTCCACGGGCCCCGGGGGCGTCGTCCAGGGCACTGCCTGGTTCCCGGGCTCTGGGGATGTCTGCGTCCTGGGAAAGGCTTGGGGTGGCATCCAAAAAGACTCGTCAGGGGTTCTCCCTTGGGACGGATGCGTGGGCGACTGTATCTTGGGGCAGTAAGGGGGTGTCACCCAGGGATCTGTGTCCGGGCCCCCGCTCCCCAGATGCTCGGGCACAGCTCCGGGTCCAGGGCAGGCGGGCGGGGACCCCCAGGACGCCCCGGCGCGGGCGGCTGAGCCCAGGCCCGGGCCGCGCACCTGCACCTGCGCCTGCACCTGCACCTGCGCCTGCGCGCCGCCGTCGGGCACAGCGGCAGCCCCGGCGGACGCCGCGTCGCTGCGCCGCCGGCGCCGGCGCTGCAGGCTTCCTCGCTGAGGCCAGCACGGCCGACAGGTGGCCGATGTAGCGGATGGCCAGGCGCAGCGTCTCGATCTTGGTGAGGCTCTGGCCGGCGGGCGCACGGACGGCGGCAGGAACGGCGCAGCTCGTGCAGGGCGGGGCGAGCGTGCGCATGCGCAGCTTCTCGCGCTCGCTGGCGCTCTGCCGCTGCCGCCGCCGGCCAGTGCGCGCACGTCGGGCGCCGCAGGCGGGGGGCGCGGGCCGCGAGGGGCCGCGGGTGCTGTCGTAGGGGCACGAACCCGACGAGTCCGAGGAGGAGGCCGGGGACGTGGAGTCCGAGTGGCCGGCCCAGCCCCAGCCCTGGGAGAAGATCCAGTGGTCGTGGCTGAGGAGGCTCTGCGGAGGCGACTGCGCCATGGCCCGGGCTGTGGGCTGTGGGAGGCTGCGCTGGCCACCTCCAGGCCTGAGCTTTTATCTGGGCCCAAGGTGCGAGGTGCCCCCCTGCCAGGTTACAGAGAGGTGTCAAAACCCACAGAGCCCAGGGAAGGTCTGGGCAGGGGGGCCCTGGGAACGCGGCCCATTTGCGGAGGTGTGGATTCTGACTCCTCCGGGGCTCTAATGGAGGCCCCTGCAGCCCGGGAAGTGTGGGAGGGACAATTCGCATCTGGATGGAGCTGCTAAGCTTCTCACCGCGCTCCCACCCGCGCCCCCGCCCCGTGCGCTGAGCACGGTGAGTGCCCAGGAGCGCCGCAGGGGCGGGCAGTGCCATGGTCCGCGGGCGGCCGGGCTGTCCCTAGGCGCCTCACGGCCTCCGTGAGGAGTGGCTGCCTCTCTCGTCGCCGTCCTCCGGGGGTCTGTGCCCAGCGACCTCCGCGCGGCGCCTGCTGGTGTGTTGGATGAGGCGCGAAGACAAGCCCGGGGAGCCTGCCCTCGGTGACTGGGAGCGGGGCGCACAGGTGGACCCTTCTGGGGAATCCAGAACCCACAGCTGTTGATTTGCCGAATGGCACTGAGAGAGTCATCTCAGTGCCCACGGTCTGTTTCTGTCCCTGAGAGAGGGGACAGAGCAGCCTGCACAAGAGGAATGGGTTACAGTGGGTGCCAAACATGGGTGAAGGCGGCCCCGGTGCCGGCCTGTCTATTGGCCGGATGACCTTGGGTAAGCCACTTACCTCCCCGGGGCCTCAGGTCCTCGTGGTGGTACCAACAGTAGTAGAAAATGCCTACACTGGGTGGCTGCTGGTGCTAGGGGAGCCGATCCCTGTAGCACTTAGAAAGGGCCTGGCAAGTGAGCTGAATGTTTGCTCTTATCATTTTATAAAGAAGGCGCTTGCGTTTTAAGGCGTTTGTGGGCATTATTCATTTTTAATTCATCTTTATTTAGCAACCAGTAAGTGTCAGGTGCACCCGGTTGAACGTGCACCAAGCAAGAGATTTCAGTCTTGTGGGAAAGACAAATCAACTGTGAACAGGCCGTTGTGTAACTAGCAGTTCCACCACTAACTAGCTGTGTGCACTTGGGCAGGGCCCTTAACAACTGTCTGAGCTTGAGTTTCTGCTTTAATGCAACAGGAATAATAATGGTAGTATCTGCTCACCGGACTTTTGTGTGGGGTAATTGAGATGGTAAAACTTATAAATGTTCTCACTCCTCAGCAACAATGACAGTTTAAAGGTTATCAGTGTCCCGAATGATCAGGGAAAGGGCTGAGCCCAGAGGCTAAGAGCAGATGAAGGCCAGGGACAGTAGGGCTCTGGCCACAGAGGTGGAGAGGTCACAACTGGGCCTTGGACCTCGAGTAGGATTTGAGTAGGGAGAGCGTTCTGGGTGGGAACTGCACAAGCAGGGCCTGGCAGTGGGACCTTCCAGGGTCTTCAGGAGCAGGGCGCTGTGGTGGGGGGGTGGGGGCGCGGGGGCCAGTGCACACCCTGGCTGGTGACACCCTAAGGAGGTGGGTTGTATTCCCAAGGCAATGGGGAGCCATGGGGACTCTTGAGCAGAAGAGTGACAAAATTTGTAAAAATCAGTAACCCAAGGTCAACTGGTGTTCTAGAATAGATTGGCCTGCAGCGGCCTGAAGTAGTAGTAAGTGGCCTTGTAAATGCTATTATGGCTGTTTTTAAAAATTAATTTTTAAGTACACAAATTACATAGCCATGACATTTCACTGTGAGAAGTGGAAAATCACAGATAAAGTTTGAGTCCCTTTAACCGGTCCCCAGAGCCCCTCTCCAACAGGTGACCGCTGCTGTTAGGCCGGGTGTCCTTCCAGACCAGCGCAGTGCATTTGCATAGACGTGAGTGTCCTCAGCAGACACTCGGATCGGTCAGGTTACATTAGGCACGCTGTACCGTGTATGTGTCAGCAACTTTGTGTTTGGGTTTTTTTTCATTCAACAGCGCGTCTTAGGGCATTCCATGTCAGGACATATTTTGCTAACTCATCCTTTTAAAAAAAAAAATGGATCAAATTTTTACTGCTTGTCAATACAGATTTAAACTATGGGTTATATAGAAAACGAAACCTTGGTCATAGGTGATTCATTTTTTTAATTTATTTTTATTTTTTTATTTCAGCATATTATGGGGGTACAAATGTTAAGGTTACGTATATTGCCCGTGCCCCTTCCCCCCCACCATCATAGTTGATTTAAATGTTCATCCATTTAAGTAACTTTAACTTGGGAAAAAGTAAAACGGCAAGAGGTACAGATAAACCTTCAATGATAAAATTATAAATCATTTTTTCCTTCTCAGAGCTTATTTTAAAATATATTGGAGAAAATACGCCAAGTTACCGCTTTAAGTTTATGATACAGCAATAATTGATGTTGAATAACATTCGTTAAGGCAACTGGTGTTTATTCTAGCTTCTATGAATAAAGAGACATTTTTAATTTGTCCGTAATGTGAAAAGAACATGGAATCAATTTCAAACAGGCTTTCTTTGGAAAGAAGCAGTTAACAATGCAACATTTCAGCTTAAAAGGGTTTAAACTAAAGTAAAACAAAACAAAATGAAACCATTTCCTAGGGGGAAACAAGGTGGGACTTACAAAACATGCAACCCTCCACTTTTTAGGTTGAAATAATAGCAAATGCAGTTTAAATACATCATTTATTCACCCAAGGCCACACAACACTATAAAGCTCTTGACATATTATCTCTCAAGAAACTTACACACGTGGATTTGACAGTTGTAAACAAAAGTCATCAAGTTTCACAGATATGCCTTGATCTGGGTTCCGAAATGGCAGATTAATGTGCCATTTCTATTGACGTTTTCTGACTCACGCCTTTTAGCTGCTGTGTGATAGTCCATGGCATGCACCTTAGACTTTTAGTGTGTGTTTAGTTTCTGCCAAACAGTGCCGTCTCGTGTAGGAACGGCTGGATATGCACCGTGGGATGGCCTCATGGTCTCCAGGAAGGTTCTGAATATACAGAATTATTTTCCTCGCCCCACCCCTAGAGCCAGCCTAGAGGGATTTCCCGGGAAGGGATTTGGTGAGTACTGGGAATTCATGCGGGCACAGAGCCCCGTGCTTGGTATGTACGGACTGCTCTTTCCTGCAGGCTTGCCTGGCCTCCTACCTGGGTTTGGGCTAGCCCGGGAGCCCAGGCCCGGGTCTCACTGTTGAATCTCTGAGTGTCAGTTCTGGAGGGTGGGCCTTGGGCCTGGTGTGCTGTGGGCCCTGGCTGTTCACGGGGCCCCTCAGCCAGGCTCTGGAAGCCCAGGGCACACTGTCTGCCAGCCTCACTCACCAGGAGGGAAACCGAAGGGGATCCCCAGTGGGCCCCCACTTGGCACAGGGCGCAGTGCAGCCTAGTGGCTGGGCGGCTGTGGAGCCAGGCCTGGTTTAGAGCCCCCGCTGTCCCCTTACTGACCTCAGTGTTCTCATCTGTAAAGTGGGGATTCTGATCTCCAGGGTCACTGCTGGCATAAAAGAGGATAATGCATGTCGTGGTACTTGGCACAGAGCCAGTGTTACGCTTTAGGTAAGTTGAGGGGCAGCAGAATGAAGTAGGGAAGGAGTATGCTGGATGGTGAGCAAGGCATGAACCATCCGCCTTTCTCCTTCCTCTCCGGGGACGCAGCTGGGCACCAGGCCTCGGCATCCCGCCCGGCCCCCGCCCCCACCTGCAGCCTTTCTCCTCTGTGGGCCCAGCACGGTCATCCTCAGCAGGGCACCCGCGCTCCCGCCCCGTGGCAGGGGAAGCAGAGCAGCGGTGCAGAGGCAGCGGGAGAACCCGGGCGCCCGGAGCTGGCGCAGGAGCAAGGCCAGAGATGGAGACGCAGAACCAGCCTCCCCCGGCGGGCGGGGTCCTGGCGCGGCTGCCTGTCCAGCTTGCCCAGCCCTGGGGCTCAGCCCTCCCCCTCCTGGATGGATGTGGAGCCACGTATCTGCCCGTGCTGGAAGCGGCCCGTGCTGGGAGAACAGCTAGGTCTGGGCCCTGCCCGCAGGCCCGAGTTGGACTCACCTGTTAAAAGGAGGGACTGTGGCCGTGAGCTGTTGGGTGGGGCAGCTAAATTCTGGGCCTCAGTGTGCAGGTGGCACCATGTTGACCTTCTCTCTGTGACAGGAGGAGGTGGTGGCTGGATCAGGGAAACGTGGTCAGTAGAATGTGTGTGCATTTCCCGAGTGTGGCAGACACGGCCAGCTGCCCACACAGCATCTCTTCGCCTTTTTCTTAATAACAGGACCTTACCTTGTTGTGGGCGGTGATACGCCCTGCTAGAAAACTACACTTCCCAGCTTCTCTTGAAGATATAATGGCCATGAGATACTAGCAGAAGCCATTGGTTGGGGCTTCTGGGAGAGCTCTTTAAAGCTGAGAGGTATACTCCTGTGTCTCTACCCCTTTATGTTTTCTTCCTACCTGGGGAAACATCATGGCTGGAGCTTCAGCAACCTTATTGTGAGCCTGAGGCAATCTCAAGGGCAGGAATCACACACTAAGGATGGTGGCACAGAAAAAGAAGGCATTGGTGACAACATGGATGTGCCATACTGGCCCTGGACTTTCCACCCCTGAATTTCTTTAATGTGAGAGAAAATGAGTCACCACCTTAAGGTGTCATTTTAGGTGCTGCTATGAGCAAGGAAACACAATTCCTGCCCACACGCTGAGGAAGCTCCTAGGGCTTCCTTGTCTACACTCGGGGCCGTGTGAGCTGGATGGCAGTTCAGTTAGGTGGATTCACAGCGGAGTCCGTGCTCCCAAAGGGAGTGGACGGATGCTCACCTGGGGGAGGTCTCTAGTGATGTGCCACAGGCTCTGTTCCCAGCCCTGTCACAGGCAGTGTTATGATCTTGAATGAAGATACGAGCTGATCCAATTCAGGACAAGTCCCACACCCAGGAAGGGAACTGGGTAGCAGCCAGGGGGCTGTAAAGAGACCCTGACGGCCTG